TATTCACTGAAATTGTGAAATTCATAATTTTTAGAAAAGCATCAGGAGAACATGAAAATTAAGGAGGTATTCACCGAAATGTGGTATCGTTGGAAATTTGGAAATGGTCTCCTGCCCCCTCTGACAGCGGGACTGCTACTGAGGCAGTTACCGAGTCGGCTGACGGGCAGACACCCCACCATTGGGGGTCTGAGTGACCCCATTGGCATTGCTGTACTGCACCCCAAGAGTGGGAGGGGGCCACACACCAAGAGTGGGAGGGGGCCACACGCCAAGAGTGGTGGGGTGTCTACCCGTCTGCCGACTCGGTAACTGTCAGAGGGAGCAGCGGACGAAGTAAATGTTATTTTCTGCGTTACGAAATTGATATTCCCTGAAATTGAAAAATTCGAAATTTGTGAAAAAGTGTCAGAAGAGAATAACAATTGAGGAGGTATTCACTGAAATGTGAAAATTCGAAATTTTTGAAAAGGTATCACGGGAGCATAAAAATTAAGGAGGTATTCACCAAAATTTGGAAATTCAAAATTTCCAAGAAGTATCAGGAGAACATGACAATCGAGGAGGTATTCACTGAAATTAAAAAATTCAAAATTTTCGACAAAGTATCAGGAGAATATGAACATTAAGGAGGTATTCACCGAAATGTAGAAATTCAAAATTTCCGTGAAAGTATCAGGAGAACATGAAAATTGAGAAGGTATTCACCGAAATTTGGAAATTCAAAATTTCCGAGAAAGTATCAGGAGAACATGACAATCGAGAAGGTATTCACTGAGATTGAAGAATTCAAAATTTTCGAAAAAGTATCAGGAGAACATGAAAATCAAAGAGGTGTTTGCTGAAATTTAAAAATTCAAAATTCCGGAAAAAGTATCAGGAGAACATGAGAACAAAGAGGTATTTGCTGAAATTTGACAATATTTTTATCGCGTTCTAATGTCTGAATAATGAAGCATTACCGGAAAATAAAAAGAAATAAACGAATTTCAAGTGTTATTTACCACCGGTGATTCATCAATCAGTCAATTAAAAATAGCGATAAACGAACGGAGGAGTAAAAAGAAGGTGAGATCCGGTGAAATACAAACTCAAGGTCGTAAAAGAGAAGATAGCAGTGATAATATTTGTTTCCTCCTTACAATCCTTGATACGATTCACACTGAATGTCTGGCAAAGCGTAAAAACTTTTATCGTTCAATTTCGATCGCCAGCTTTATTTGTTCCGCACTTTATTCTTTAGGAGAATTGAGGGTGAGAGCTTCTACAATATGTTTGATGTCAGAAGGCCAAAGAGCGTGAGATAGAAGAGGAATGTATCTAAAAAGAAGAAAAAAAAGGAGTAAAACGCATGTACACGAGAGCCCGTGATATTCAACTCAACGATTTTAGCTACAGTACCTGGGGATGTCCATCGTAAACTGACATATTTTACTCGCTACACGAGAAACACAAGTACCCGGAGGAGCTTCTGCCACATTTCCCTCTTTACTCAACCTATATTATTCAACTTCATTTTTTTATCACTAAACATTACCCTTTTGTACCCCTTTTTGCCCCTTTTTGCCCCTTTTTGCCCTATTCGAAAGGACAATAATTACCGGACAAGTAACGTGTTCGTCCTTTCTGCCGAAAATCACCGTTCCTCTTTTTTTCCATTTTTCTGCGATAAGATTTGCGACAGGGGATGCACGTGAAAAGTTTTTTGGGATTTGTCATTGTTTAATGGGCCATTAATTTTCGTGGTGATGCAATTATTTTTATGCGTTTTTTGTTTAGTTTTTTTTTATTCCTTTTGAAAAGTTGAGAAAAAACACGGGAAAAAATTCGCACAGCCTTGAAACTTTGTGAGTCATTAAATAATAACAGAGCGCAAAGAAATGATATTTTTCCGGGTCAATGCGATCGATAATTTGTCAGGAAAATTGTAGCAATGAGATTTTTTCTTTAATAGACCAGCTAGAAATTCTTAACAGTTCAATATTCCGGTAACCGAAATTCTAATGTTGAAAATTGAAATAACATTCCTGAATTTCCAATCTCTTGAAAATAGTTTTATTTTATATTCTACCCTCACAACAGGCATGAAAATCGAAGCTTTCATTAAAAACTCAATTACCATTCAACAAGAAAACCCATTTCCTTGAATTTTCAATCGGACCAGAAATTTACTAGCCATTTTTAACTGCAATTGAATTCAACCTCATATAATGGAAAATTCCTGAGGCCTGAAATTTCAGAAAAATGTCATCAGTGCACCTCCTCATAATTAAACAAAATGTAATCCTCAAAAACGCGGGGGTTTCACCCCCTGAATTTTCGACATCATCACAGGACATCATCGATAAAAATGAATTATGAATTTTTTCCAGTGGCATGGGGCTGCCCGTAATATCCAGAACTTTGGAAGTACAATGATGATTCACGGTAGCACCAAGGATATTTCAACGAATCGATTTGGTATTGCATCAAGAAATAGTACAATGACGAATGGCTTGAGGTAGTTATCCAGATTGGAGGGATATCCGGGAGTGATTACTCTTACTTGACTGCAATCGTCAGCTAATTTGATAAAGTGTTATATTTTTATTTGGGGTGGGTAGGGGGCGAGGGGGAATAATTCACTGGGGAACGATAGAATTCAATTCTTACCACAGTTCAATGTGCTTTTCCGTCCGTCTAGGATTGCGAGTCACGAGGTACTGAGCTTAGACACATCGAGGCCACCAGAAATGCCTCCCACGACTCACCATTTGTGTAAACCCCACTCCTCCCTTTTTCACTTCATCCCTTTGTCTTGTAAACCTGATGACTAGGTGGAATGCTATTTACTAGACCTCGTGGCTTCTGCCTCGTGCACCTCCAGCACGTGGATTTAACACCAATTTTAAACCGATTTATTTCCCTTGTTTGGAGTATTCACTCTCTATTTTTATGGATTCCTAATTTGTTTAGCATCCAAGCAGAACTCCAAGAGCTTTATTATTATAATTATTATTAATTTGAATTATTCATTGAATTATTCGAAATTTGAATTGCAAAATGAAAAATGATTAATCAGGATCTGATAATTGGATTTTAATTAAATTTATTAAATTAAATTGTTGATTAGGGAAAAATACGTCAAGAATTGTTTTGAGACCATGAATTCACAAATTTCCAAAAATATAAATCGATCAATGAAAAAGAACTGATGAATTTCAAAACGACTCGATGAATTCTAATTAATTAAAAACAGTGAAACACCCACCAAAAAGTGAATTACTCGATCCAGAACTTGCAGATAATTCCCGTCAGTCGAGGAGAGATTGAAAATAAGTACTTACGTTTTATTAAATCAAAACTCCTCAAGTTAGCAAATTCAACTTGTAATTTGTTCGTTGAAACTTTTGTTTCCCGAATAGTTATAGCAACTGTTTGAAATTGGAATTCAACTGGATACGATGTTGAATCACCGAAGGGACACAGGACCTTGACCGAATCCCTTACTCCGATTTTCACTGTTTCCTAATGATTACTGGTGTGTGCATTAGGACTGCTCTGATGCAAGGGTAATTGCTGGTGTAATAAACCGACTATGGCGTGTCTATGAGCATCTGGAAATCGACACGACCCCCTATCACCGTTTGTTGGCTTCCACACGCCCCGTTATCGACAAAATTATCCTGAGCCTTTGGAGATCATTATTTATTCATGGAAAATTCCATTTAATTTAATCCTCCAGCTTCTCCTTTTATTCACAACTTCCGGTATTAATTGAGGCAAGTGAATCGGCTGGATTCATTAGTTTGACGGACATCTTTTCAGTTATTGAAGGAGATGAGTAATTGAAAGATTGGTCTGAGTCTTATTTTAGGACAGCTGATGGAAACAGCTGATTAAGGACTCAAGGCGACGAGGAAAGAACTTCTATCCCCTTTTATTCCCTTTTTACGTGATTATCAAGTCATCTTAGTAATGGAGAAAATTAATAAAAAGAAGAGAATTCAATTAGCCGAGAGTGAAGAGGAATATTTATCCGGATATCTTGTAATTATACCGGAACTGCATTCGAAAAAAATAGGAGTCGTGCGGGGATATATATATATGATATTTGGATAATTCTTACAGGATAATTGTAATTGCAACACTTTCAGGAGATCATTTTCTGTGAATTTTTCTCGGTGGAAAGCAAATAGAATGGACTTCAATGGGACATCCAATATTTGATGTCATATTATAATTTACGAATGAAGGGAGTAACTTCCAATTAATTGAAGTTAATGGCGTGTATTGTATACCATTTCCACCACAAATAGCTCCCCATATATAGGTATATATAGGTATATAGAGGTATATTTTCATTCAAGTAGTATACATAAATCTTCGTCCATCCACTGATTAGTTATGAAAGTTCAATGAGTGCCCATTACTATTTCACATTCACATTTTCTCGTGTCCCGCAGAAAAATGCCACAGGTTTCATTTTTTTTTTAATTATGCATTCCAGTTATTTCATTTTATCAATTCATTGTCGAATTCTTTCGTTCAATTCATTCTGATAGCTTTATTCTCCAATTTTTAGGAAGAAAGCGAAGAAATTTCGTTTAGCGTTCTCATTAACGGAGAATATTGACATGTTTTCATTAAAATTAAGGTATTGGCAATTAACAAATGTCAAATTTATAGTTTTGAAAACCGTAATTTTTTTAATTGTGTTTGTACAACCGATTAAAATTACCGATTTTTTCGCACTATTTGTTTTTTAATATTTTTGTAGAATCCCTCTTGCTAGTCTACCAATCAACTAATTTCGAAATACCTAATTAATGTTTATACTTAATATATATCTGTTGCAAAATAGCGAAATATTAGAAATGAAGAATGGAAAAATGTTTAATGGGTGTGCATTTAACCCAGGCATCCCCTAAATAAAGAATATCTGGGTCATGAAAAAAATGAGTAAAAAGTGTGAACCCATAATTAATGTACTTAAAATGTGTGGAAGAAATGAGTCTCACCTCACGGAAATTCTGAAAGACTCTTGGCTGGTCTCATTACGCTGAGCAACACGTGCAAAAATCCCATTACAGATCCTCGGTATCAGCCCAGGATCATCCTAGAAAATCATAAAAAAAATGAATAACCCCGGAATTTCTCGTCATCGTCATAATGAATGTTCCTCATAACCACCGGCCCCTCATTCATCTGTAAATAATCAATCAAATCAACCGTGGGCTCATAAAACTGATTAACTCTGACAAACGTGCGAGTCATAATGTGATATAATTCGAACGTAAAACGGAATGCAAATGAATATGCTATTGAGAGATGAAAATATCTTGACGGGTTGAATCACCGTCATTACTATCGAATAGTAGATCTCATTAATAATGTTGGTTGGAGGTGTTTCTCACGGATGAATTAACACTGGGCTCATATCGTTTTACTTCAATTATATCATTCCACCCAAATATTCATTCTCTCGCTTGGCGAGCTGTGTTTATGCGAATCAATTGTTACGGAATGTAATTCATTAATTAATTAAACAAACACTGAAATCATATTTCACGGAACAGTGCACGTGCGCTTTTGTTGGTAATTAATGAAAATTATACGAAATGCGGGCCAGTTTATTATCAACTGAGGAAAGTTTAGTCCAATTTAATGTGAATTTTACTCATTATTTTCATTTTTTTTATTCATTATATTTTTCAGTTTTAACGGTTTATCATTCATTACCCTTTCTTATTTTATTTGAAATATTTAACAAATTGGAAATTTTCAGAAAAATTGTAAATTGTCATTGATAATTTTCAATATCGAAAACATCGAATGTTTGATATTGAATTGCTCACACTTATTATTATCACTGTATAAATTGAAAATTATTAAAAATTATGAGACCTTAACTTTCTGCAGCAATTTTAAACAAATTTCCATAATATTATAAAAATCCAAAAATACGGTGGCTCTGAATTTTATGCGATAATAATATTAGTTCCCAAAATATTCCAAAAAATATTACAAGGCGATATGTTATGATATCATTATATTATATTTAAAAAAAAAATACAAATTGAAGGATTATGAAATAAATTGTTTTGTGCACCGAAGTATTATACTGGTAAATTATTATTGCCCTCAATTATTTTCTCATGACGTTCTCGTGATGAAAATTTCGTCGGTTAACAATTACATACCACAAATGACAATTTATTGGTTTTTTCGTTGTTCCTGTGATGTTTCGAAATAATATCTTTTATTTAAATATTTTTAGTTATAATATCTGGAAGCGATAATTTTTTCATATTTTGATAGGTCACCAAAAAAACAAATGTAAAATTTTTTCAAGTGGGATTAAATAATAATTTACCTTCGTCCCCATCATAGTGTAAGTTTTTCCGGACGCACTCTGTCCATAAGCGACGAGACAAGAGTTGTATCCACTGAAAATAGTCGCAAGTACTGATTCACCGATTGTCGAATATATTCTCTCCTGACTAGCATAATTTTCCGATATTGGATCGGAGGAATCGAAGCAATAATCGAATGTGTATCGCTTCGTTCGTTCGCGGCTGTCGCCTGCTTTGCTGGACGACACCTTCAGATTTGTCAGGGAAACCTCACGAGACCCAGTACGAACAACCACATCCGACCCCGTAACGTTAATCTCTCTGAAAAGTTTTTTAAGAATTTTAAAAAGCATCAATTAACAACAATCAATCATTTTAATAATAATCACTCAATTATCCTTTGAGCCCATAAATTCGTCAAACTGACTTTAAACAATTGCGAAATTATCGCACTAAAAAAAAATCAGCAAAATCTACGCGGGAAAAAGCGGGGAATTTAAAAGTTCAAATACCTGATAGTAGAAGTATTTTATTTGTAAATATCAATCGAATTATATGAATGATTCGCATCGATTATCTCTCTCTGGGTACACAGGAAAGAACAGAGAAAAAAAAAATAACATGCATTGCTTCACTCAAGCGATCGATAGGTCGAAACTGTTAGAAGTGCAAGTTTTCGGGTCACCCATTTTTCAATCCGTGACGAGTTTTGGCGTGACGAAATAAATAAGATTCTGCTTTGCGATAACACGCCACTGGGCAAAGTCATATCCACCCCCATCCCCTCGCCATTTCGACGATTGCTTCTCTCTTCATTTCATCCCCTTTAGTTTTTTTTTTCCACTCTGTGAACCGCCCCGGTGGTAAATTTTCAGGCGTGTCGCTCTCTCGATGATCCTCAAACTCCTTGCGTGATGCTTTTAAATCCCTTTTTCCCACCGATCCGCGGTCGTACTCAAACGAATTGCAATTATTTCAGTGGCTCAATGTTTGGATTTATTTAAACTCAACAAGTCTTGTTTTTTCCTAGGGGTGGGGCTGCGAAAAAAAAGACTGCTTCAAGAGAGTGGATTTTTATCAATTATGGAATTGTCTAATTATATCATTATACTGTACAACATTGTTATTTCAAATTTAAAATTTATAATAATGTTGGAAAAAGGGAAAAATCTCACTCATTTCGACAGCATTATTTTATAAAAATCTGATGTTTTCCAATAATTTCATCCATTTAGACTTTTCTTCAAAATCTGTTAATTTCTTTGTTTCAATTCAATGAGGATTATAAACATATAAAATATAAATCCACATACGCATCACATAATCTCACACATAATCGTATAAATATTTATTAGAATTTTTTTTTAATTCAATCGTTCAATGAAAAATAATTTCAATCAACCGATAATATAATAATAATTTCAAACTCAATCATTATAAAATGAAAAACTATCCCCGAGGACTATATTAAATATATTGTTATACATTTTATCCATCGAATACCCTTCCTTCCCCCAAAATCAAATAATTTTGTTATTTATCAAACAACGAATATTAAAATCCATCAATTCCATAAATCCTCAAAAAAATTCGTGAGTCTCTATTATCGAACTGACAACTTATAAATCGACAACGCAAACCCCGACTCATCATAAATAACAATATAACAAGAGTAATTGCAAGTATCGCCTGTTTGGATATACCGATTGGTATAAAATCGAATAAACAACATTATTGATCGGAAATCGCTTGTTCGTGATTCATTTCTATCTCGTTTGCAGCTAAATAACTGATACAGAAAGGAATGAGGTCTGGGCTTGATTCCCCTGAGATCCTGGATATCATTTGTTTATATCGTATTGTTTGTTTTTTCTTAGGATTATGTACCACGCGAAGGCATTGTTCTAGGGGGGTGACCGTGATATGGTATCCACCAACGATTCATGTCACTCAAAAGCACCACACGGTTTGCAGTCTAGTACTCCCAACTCCATTCTACTTCCATCACTCGAAATATCTAAATATAGTACAACAGGGCCGCCTTTCGTGTCTCTAAACATGAGACGCATCAAAATCCTATTCTCCACCTGCATCCCAAATATACTTCGTATTCAGATCAACCCGAGGACTCAATAATATAACCAAACGAGTCAATAATGCTTCAAATATATCGTGTTACCAATCAAATTCATGTCACATTTTTCTATACTCTGACCATCTCATTTCAGTCTTGATTGACGTTTCCTGGCGTGGAACATCTGTAATCGAATCAGGGGCTGGGGGATGAGATGAATTATTTATCTTTCGCGACGTTTTACCAGCAACCTCAAGATTTTCTATTCATCGGGAAATTTTTGCTCTAGTTTTTCAAGCAGTCTCACAAAAAAAAAAAAAGAAAAAAGAAAAAAATTCGAAACTTGTTATTGAAACCATTCTTTAGATGAGAATTTCAATGTAGAGATATTTGGTTACATTTTTTAAATAAAAATCAGGTACTTCTCCTAGTTTATCGAGAATTATAAATTTTATCCAAAAACGCAGGGAAACTTTCAGGGCTGTCACTGAATTCTATTTTGAAAATTCATAAATGAATTGACTCGAAGGTTTGGTAATTAAACTCAAATTAACAGCTTCCACCATTTTTCGATGATAAAATGAAAAAAACTCCATGCGCATTCCTTGTAATTTTCTGAAGCTGCAACCCGATAAGAATTTCGATAAAAGTGTTGGATTTTTCCAAAACTCCGGAAGCTCTCATCGAACCCTGAGGATACCCCACGATTCAATGAAGACCGAAAACTCATGCCAAGCTAATTAATATATTTATGAACACAAACCTGTGGGAAATTGGTCTGACTCTCACAGCCACTTTAATATTCGCCATTTAATTGCCCTTCAGATATTTTCAGTTACTCCCCTCCGAAATAAAAAAAAACAACAGTAGTCCCTCCGTTATCCCATTGTTTTCATTTTATCCTCGTGCATTTTACTGACAATTTTACCAATCACGGGTGTACGAACTGCAGTCAAACAAATAAAAACAATCGAGATAACAGGTAAAAAGAGTTTTCTCCACCCCAACGAAACAAAACGAAACGAAAAAAAAAATGACAGAAAACTCAAACAAAATATACGAAATGAAGTGTGTTGAAAAAATTGTTTTTTCTCTCTCTTTCTCGACAAAGTGAAAAATATTGAATGTATAGAGAATTTCGGGTTTACGTTCACCGGGTGAATGCACGTGTTCTACTGGTTGGACGATGAAAATACCCAACGAAAAGTTGTTTCATGGGTTCTCATCCCAACCCAGAGGATTTCTACAGCTGAGACTCATGGCATCTTCTCTTTTTACACTTCATATTCCTCTCGAGATACTTCAGTTGGCTTTCTTCATCTCTTTTCCACTACGAATGGGCGCAACACTGTTCTAAGAATAATCTCGAGAGACTCCGGAGGGTCATACAACAAAAATTAATGGCTGCTTTTCGATGGAGCCAAAACTTCCAGAGAGTACGTTAAATTTATCTGATAAGTATAACCATTGTTGGTTTTTCGAGGATTTCCTTGGATACAAAATTATCCTTCCACTCCTTCCACTCCTTCCGCTCCTTCCACTCCTTCCACGTTTTATTTTTCTTATTCAAATGAGGGTAGTTTATTGCCACATGCCTCTGGAATTTTCCCTAATTTCGCCTAAGTAAAGAACGAAAATGCAGAGTCATTCATTACTTTTCATAATACTTCAATATTTTCAAAATATATTTTACGGTCAGGGAGGTTCCGATAAGGGAAAGAGAAAGGAAAAAATATTCCAAGGGGTAGAAGCTATATTACCCTAGAAAATACTTTCTATGAAATAATGAAAAATAATGAAATAAAAATATTGAAAAAACCATGAAATTCGCATGTTAAGCATTGATTCACGTGTTCTTTCTCTTATGAATTTCCGCCTCAACTAATTTTCCATTCATAAGACGTCAAATATTTACTCCAACGGATCCTCCAAATGAGAGAAGAAATTGTCGTTCCCCAAATTTATCAGGAATCCCCTCTATTTACCGAAAGCTCTCATCAAGCCCGACGAATAAAGTGTTATGTACGGCAAAAGAAACAGTATATAAAAAAGAATGTAAGTTTAGCGGGGAAAGAATTTGAAAATAAATCCCCAAGATGAAAGGGCGTCCCTAGAGTTTGAAGTTAGTCTGATTGGGCTACGTCATCCCGATGGATAATAAGTCAGTACCATAAGGCTCATGGGGGAACTTGGAAATTTCAGCGAAGGGTTCGAGAGTCTAAAACCCAGGGATGAACAAAGGGCAGAGTCTAATGTGATTATCAGGGAAAAGGGAACCTTTCCTGTCTTGTATACTCTGAGATGATGCATTATTTAGGTATTATAAGTCACAGCCAACGAATCATCCTCGGAGGCTATGGGGGAAACTCCTTAAGAGCCACTCCACCGTGATCTATCTCATCCTTAATGCCATTTGTCAACTCACATTTACGTCTGATTGATTTGATATTTTTTTCCAGCGAAAATACCCTGCAATATCCATGATCCCCTCCATTCTTTTTATTTTCCAGAGTCTACGGACCAGTGGACTCTGCACTGAAATTCAAAAGCTACGAAATCCTTTATGGCATCGAGAGTTTGTTATTTTGAAAAATATTTTTAATAAATTATTTGAGGAAAACTTTAAGTTTACATTTCAAAGAGAATTGTGAGATAATTTTTGTTCGATCACATCGATCGATTTTCAGGACAATCGGAAAAATTTGCAATTCGTGGTAGATAAATAAATCGATTTTATTAATCGATGGTATTTTTACAGGTTTGCATGTCAGAATAATTCATAGATCATGAATTTCATATTGTAATTATAGAATTGTAATATTATATTAGCCTTATAATTTTATTTAATTAAGATATCGGTATAAATATGAATATCGTAATTTTGATCGAAAAAGCAATCGACACATTTTCATCTAAAAGTTATGAAAAAAAATGTAATTACATACCATTCCCCCGAAATGTAATTCCAGCGTGATAACTCGGTGACTATGTCACATGAATCTAATCACCTCAATTCCCCAAATTCGATAATTTTAATTGATGTCATGTGATGGTGTCTATCCGGTTAGGTTGTCGACGTTCCTAAGCCTCCACTCAAGCGGCTCTGGTACCTCAACGTAAATCCATACATTAATGACACACCTCATTTACGGCCCAGGATAATGCCTCATGCTTGAAACTTTCAAACTGCGGTATAGGAACTTTGGAACATTAGACAGAATCGTTCCAGGAAACTCCGTGCAATTTCAATCCATGCAAACTGTATATTCACCCCATGAATGAATAGACCCTGAGACTTACTCCGGTTATGACTACTCACCTGCCAACTTCACCCAGAGACAATTTAAAATTTTTACCCACCCTTATTCCACCTACCCCCTCATCTCCTCCATGATTAAGTGACCTCTCAAAATGCGAGTAACCAGTGCACCTTTACCCTGGAACATTTTCCCTATTTCACCCTGGAATTGAGTTTACCGAGTTTTGAATATAAAAATGCCATTTCTAGTTGGTAGGAAATTGGAAATATTATTGACCCGCTTTTTTTGTTTTTTATTTACAAGTTTCAGTGGAGTCTCGGGTGATTGAAGTTTACGTGGAATTTTCATGGTTAGACGGAGAATTGAAAGTAATTGGGGCAATGAGGATTGTTGCCTTCGGATATTTATGATGTATTCCATCTTCTGACAGTCGTAAAATCCAAATTGGAGAAAATCGAATTTTTCTCTTTAGTCTTGCTAGTTTTTCAGGATTTCTGGAGAGAGGAGACACCTTCTGGAAAATTCTGGCATTGTGAATTAATTATTCTGTGAATGGTAATTTACCATCAGCGAAAATATCGGGTTCCTCACGTTTTTATGAGATTATTTTATTCTATATTAATATCTTTGTTTTGATTTATTCGATAGCCTCGAAAGGGGACTTTGGAGTATGGAATACGAATCTTTAAATAGTATCAACATTTATTTTCTTTATGCATCTCCATTTTCTTTGCATTAAACTCAGTTGATTTAACGCTTTGATTCTTCAATAAATACTCAGTCAATAATTTTCCACCGCATTTTTCGATATTCCAGACATCGATCCACGAATTTTTCACGATTTTTCTATTGTAATTGAATTTCTCACTCGGTTTTTCACAGTTGTATTCTTCTTTTGAAACCGTTCGAGACTCATTTCGATGGATTTTTTCACACACTTGACATTCAAAGTTACGGAGATAGTATTCGAAGACACTGAACAACCCCTTGGGCCTTTTCCTCAGATTTTCCAGAAGCCTGTCATTACGAATTTCATGGATTAATTTATGAGAGAGATATTGCTCATACAATGTGTCATTTTTCATTAATTGATGAAGAAACTCAGCTAGATCTTTCGGAGATTTAAAATCCTGGACTGCGACAGCTGATGAATTATTCGGAAGCCAGTCCTATTTTTCGAGTAAAAAACAATTAAATGTCTGAGATTAATTTTTTTTCCTCATCATTCCACTGAGAAGAATGATTTCTATCAACTATCAACAATTGAAATGTTTGTCTAGTTAATTGGGGTATATATCATTTCTATCCATAATTATAGTATAAATAATTTCTTCTCAGTGTACCATAATTCACCTTAAAGGATGGAGAACCGTAATAAATAGGTACAGAGCCGACAGTCAGTGGCCTCCAGAGCTTTTCAGTGATGTAATCCTCGCAGACAGCATTTTCGAAGGCCAACGTGAATTTATATTTGCCAACGAATTTTTTCAATTCGCCGCTGTTCAAACGTCCGATGTAATTGTCCCTCAAGGGCCCAGGGAGCTTTCGATTATTCAGACAAGCTCCATACGCATCAACAGCAATGTATTTCATCAATTCGGAGATATATAAGTCTCTTTCACTGAGAGTATCACAGTTTGACTGGAGATAGAGCAGGGGAGACAGATTTTCCTCGTTCATCAGTCTGTTTTTCTCTTTTGTGGGGATAAAATACTTTTTGCCTGTCAAAATAAATCGAAATATATGAAATCGTGGATAGATAAAGAAATTGAAAAATATAAATTTATGAAAATTAAATACTTAATAAATCCTCTTCTCCAGGTAAATCAACGAGCGTCAAGGGGACGTCACTGAATCTACTGAATGTCGATGAGTAATTGAAAAGCCTGAGTGTCTCCTGGTGAACGAACATCAAATTATTCCTGGGTGATTCCTCGTGGAGTAATCCCCATTTAATGCCAGATCCTCTGGGCACTGGGAGATCGTGAATTTCCAAATTACTGCCATAAAATAAAATTGCCTACAAATTTCACACATAAATTATCGAATCGAATTCATAACTGATTACTAAACTGCAGTTCCGCAAAATTCATAGGAAGTATTAGCCACTTGTCTCGGGATTTCAAATTGGGATTATTCTATGTAAAACGAGAAATTCTTTGAAAAGTCAAAATAAATATTCAAACGTAATAGATATGGGAATTTTTATAATAACCTTGAGATTCTGATGATTCCAGTAAACTCTGTCTTGTGTAAAAATACACTTGAATTTTCCACACGTTCTGGAGGCTCCATCAGACCCAAAAGGTGTCCACCATAAGATCACTGGGTCATCTGCACAAAAATCAATCGTTAATTAATAATTCACTCGAGCCAGATTAATTTAAACAAATTCCTCGCACAGAAATCGACCAGTTCACCTCCAGAAATTGATGTTTCTTCATCACTAGGGGTCAGACGAATCTGTAAATCATTAACAGTTAATAAAAAAACTTCTCCAATTAACAATAGAATATCTACCTGGATAATCACCAGTGAAGCTCCAAAAAAACCAGCAATAAGAAGAAACGTTCGAAATTTCATCCAACACATGGTGATTCTTCCTGATATTAAACATCTCTCAACATTTAATTCCTCATTCGATCACTCCTCAAGGTTATGAATCACCGGATGTCCAGCAGGAAATATAGAAGATAAAAAATAGTTCTTCCACTAGTAAATTCCATTTCAGCTCTCCCCCGGTTTTTCTGTCTCAAAATATCTGTCATTGTCACCTGTTTATCACTCTTTATTTATAAATAACACGCAAAGCTGCAAATTATCTTCAAATTGGTGAAGAGTGGAGTAAAAGTGTGGGACAAATAACGAACTGGTGGGATCAGCTGATTGGTGCCCAACAGGTGCCGCAGATGGAATAGAATTTCCTTCGCCCACGCCGTCGTCATCCAAGACGTGAAAACGTGATTGCACATGTGGAGGGGTGATTGCTCCATTGCACATCGACAACTATCGTTTTGTTTTGTTCCATTGGCTGGTCAAAATAATCACGGGAATTAATTTACATCGTGATGTTTCGAGATGGACAGTATCTGGAGGTCATCAAGGTAGGTCACTGTGTCAACAGCTGGTTCAATTACTCACACTGCCCAAACAGCTGTTTCTAAACAATTTACAATGATGTATTGTTGTTAAAACAACAATTGAACACTACTGTCGGTTTTTTAATTTTAAATCGTCCCATTCCTTAATTGGGTGAACCTCTTAAAATAAATTATAAACAGTCTGTGTTACTCAATGTTCTTTAATTTTTTATTCATTTATGGTGAATTAATTGCTGAAGTTTTTTGGATTTTTTGATTTACTTGTAGATTTCGGAGAATTGCACGGCCACAGCCATCATAACAATCAAACAAAAATCAGTGGAAATTAATGGAAAAAGAATTTCTACGAACAAGTGGTTGAGTTTAGAGGATTGGTCCTCTTTGTATAAAATAATTCAACGGGCTGGACTAAGGAATAGTAAAATATCTCATGAAAATAATGAAAGGAAAAGCTTGGAGAGGAGGAAATCCACTCGAGGAATGGATGTCATGTAAGATTAGTCTGAATTTCCCACATCATTTTGCATTTATCGATTTATCTCGAAGGCTATCGATTTACTGAAAAAATACCATATCACTTTTTTGTAGTTGATTAAATTTTCAACAACAAAAGTTTTTTGACATATTCTCCTAAAATGAGTAGTTTACGAGAGAAATCTGTGTATCAGAACTTAAATACTCACTTATCTTAATTAACGCTTAGAAATTAATTATCTCTCAAAATTGAATATTGAAATCATTTTAGCTACTCTTACGAGGCCCCAAAGGACCCCACATCCCTCCCCACGATAAAAGCCAGGGTGTCACCAGCAAAACGTCGTCACGACGAGAAGTCCTCCAAAGTTGATAAAACAAAATCAGAAAATATTTCCAAGTGTCCTGATCAGAAAGACAGTCCTCAACCAAGAGTGAGAGGTTCAATGGAGAGGAATGACGAGGAATACGTGCCTCCAGACATCGAGAACAGTCAGAGCTCACAAAAGGACCTGCAGTACGTCCCCAGCAGAAAAAGTCTCCTGAAACAGATGAGATCAGATACCCCAGGGGAATCCTCACCGAATACCCCTGAAATATCTTCGAAAAATGCTTACGTTCCAAATGCAGTGAAAAAAAAATCGAAGCACGAGATGTACGAGCCCTCTGGGACATCCTCTCTATCTCCAGGTATCACTGAAGCTTATGTGCCAACTTCTAAGGGCTGTCCTGTCAACTGTGATGAGTACACCCCGACCTCAGGCTCGAAATTGACGGAAGAAACTGCTTATGTACCCAATCCAATTGCCAGTTTGGAGAGTGAACCCAAGCACGAGATGTATGAACCCTGGGAAGGAGGTCTCCTGTCCTTAGAGGTCACTGAAGCCTATGTCCCCAGCTCCATGGGCTCCAGCACAACTATTGAAGAGTATCAACCCGATTTTTCAACTATGAGTGTAAATTCCAATGTCACTTACATTCCTTCTGCTACGAAACGCAAGGCCGAGGACAACTGTGAGGGAAATGACAAGAAGTGCAGGGAGGAGATGAAGGACAGGAGAAAATACTCCTCGAGTAGGAAAAAAGGTGCGGTGAACACTGGGGGCAAAAGAGAACTTTAGTAATTATATGGTTGTGAGATGAATTCAGGTGTCAAGTGGTGGACTGAGATAATTTCGATTTGAAATTCCTATTGGTTATCCGGTTATGGAGACAATTATCGATTTCCTCGTAGAATGAATAGTTAACGAAGAGGGGATCGATGCATTTGAGGTATTTTTGGATTATTAACAATAGATCCTGTGATTTTCAGCTTCATTTTAATCTCATGGTGTAGAATATTATTTTTCCAGATAAAATTCATACGAATAAACAATTAAACCATTTGTAAATTTCTGAAGATTTCCTTTTGAATGAAATCAACATTCCATCCTCAAAATCCACAAACAATTCCTTGAGATATTTGCTCAGAATTTAAATTGAAATTTCCAATTGCCTCCTAGATCGGAAAAAAATCATCAGTACTCTCCAATAAAAAAACATCCCGTCCAAGTTCTTGAAAATTCTTTAATATTCCGATCATTATCCACACACATTTTTCGAAATTATTTCATCCTTCCTCCATGGGTTCCTCCACAAGATTCTGGATAGGCTGATGCATCTCCTGTGGCTGTACCTCTTCCCTGTTCTCTTCCCCAGCCTCTGGCCTCTGACTCTCCTCGTCATCAGACCCCCCATCATCAGCCCCAGGATGAACAGGCACATGATGTTCAGGTCCAACAGCTTCCTGAATGCTCCCAGGTTTTGCCCAACCCTTGGCCGCCTCTTTCATCCCACTGACTTTATTCATATAAAAATCATAAACAAACTTTGCGACATGTGGCATATCCTGAATTTCCATGGGAGGTCCACTGGGTTCTTCATCATTGAGCCTCTGTGTAGGATACCCCTCATGAGGTAGCAACTGGAGTTTAAGAGGTCTTCTCATGAGCTGATCAAAGGCAGGAGTGAGTTCAAAACAATTCTTGAAGAGTGACACCCTAGCAAACACATAAAGCCCCAATCTAGCCCTAGACATGGCGACAACGAGACGTCTGGCATCCCTGAGATGTCCCACAGCCCTGGTCTTCACGAGACTCAATAAAATGTAATCATTCTGTTGTCCCTGATATTTATCAACAGTCGTCACTTTGCTAGGCCTTCCAATTAGTGGATTATTTGCACACCTGATGTTGATAACATCCCTAATCAAATGTTTCTGTCCATTATAAGTTGTGAGGATGCTTATTTTATCAGCAGGATATCCCAGCAGTCTCATATACATAAAAACCGCAACGCAGTACTCAGCCTCAGCGAGATTCTGATAGAAATAGGCACTCGGTTCACTCTCCCCAACTCCATTGAAGTCCTCGACGTTGACAAGTTGAAAATCATACAAGAATCCAGCATTTGCCACTAGATACTCCGGTGATCGCTCCACATGCGTCAAATTTCCAAGTTTCTTGTACCTCCAGTTGTAGAGATCACAAATACTAGGTCTAGCTCTCCCCTGGCCATCTAAATCCACAGTTGGCACTCCCAGACGAACGAACCTGGCGAACAACGACTGCTCCATATTCGAGTACTTCTGAAATGCCATGTTCTTGATGACTGGAGGTAACTGATGATGATCTCCAATCATTATCCACCTCTTGAGACGATTGTATCCATCCTGTGGATTCTGCAGAAGCAGAGGAATGAATGTTTCGATCTCCAGGATCTGTGCAGACTCCTCCATGAGAATATTATCGTACTTGAATCCCATGTCCACCAGTTCACGACGTTTCAGGGCGGCATGGGTGCAAGTCATGGCAATGACCTTGGCCTCTTTAACAAGAAGATATTTGGATCGATCGAGGCCTGATCGAAGGAGCTCGAATGCCCTGAACTCCTCCAACTGCGTGAATATCCTCTCGATGTACCTGAAGCAGCTCCTGGCAATCTCCAAATCCTCGTCATAGTGGTTTTTCTTGAAGAGAGGCTGGGGTGCATTGTCGAAGAACTTGTGGAAGGGGAACTCCTCGTCCACGATCCCAAGAATATTTTCCCCCGATCTCTGGTGAATTGCCTCCTCGAATTTCTCCCAACGGGTGATCACCTGATCCTTGAAAAAGTGGCCAGCAGTCTCGCAGGTGTAGGCCACGTCTCCCTTGACGTCCAGAGACTCTTGAAGACGTTGAACATCCATTAGGAGATCCAGACGCTTTGCCAGCACGTAATTGACCCTTCCGTATCTACTGAAGTCTTTCTCAGTCTCCAGAGCCTCTTCACCGTGACCCAAACGCAGAAGATGGCGTTCATCAATGTCCAGTGCCATAATTTTTTCAAAAAGCTGATTCAGAGCTTGATTCGAGTGAGTCACGATGAGGGTTCGCTGATTAGGAAAATTGTGGTAGAGGTTTGAAATTATTTGAACTGCAACATCAGTTTTTCCAGTTCCAGGAGGTCCCACCACCAGAGTAAGACCTGGCTGCATTCCTGCTCGAATAGCTTCCACCTGGGTGGGAGTAAAAGGTATCTGATTCTTCTTGGGCTGATTCGCTTTGTAAGGGCCTCTGCTGGGTGGCACGTGGGGCTCCACTGAAATTACTCTCGTCTCCTCTCGGTTCTCCTGCTTCGCCACAACATCCTCGAATGTCAATCTGAACGGACGCTCCAGCTTTCTCTCGTCATCTGTCTGCTTTATCCTGATTTCATACCCTGGAAAACTCGAACGCAGGTGATTAATGTCCAGGAAGGTGTCGTTGAAGTCCATCGTCGGTATCTCATCAGGCATTCTGGAGTAACGAGCCGCTCCAGGATCTCCATAACCCAGAATTATGTTGTGGAGCCAGTCTGGGACAACACACTCGGTGTTCATCAGCTCGCGAATCGTCTCCAGGACGGCTTTGAAGTTGTTCTCCTTTGGCTTGCGGCGCATTATTATATTAAAAGACTCGTAGACGTCTTCGGATCTAAAAGAAGGAAAGGAATGATTGATTTGTGCTATCTACTTTGTAATTTTGTACTTTATTATCTCAATACGGAAGAAAGAGAGAAATATTGAAAAATATTGTAAGAATTCATTAAAATAATAAATAAAATAAAATACGTACCCATGACTGGCGTTATCCATGTCAATCCTGTACTGATTAGAGTCAAGCCAGACTCGATAAGTCCTGGCATCACCAGGAAGAATAGGTCTGGGCTCAGGTCCATCCTCAATAACTCTTCCATTAGAATCAAGCATTCCCTCAACTTCACAGCCTCTTACGTACGTCAGCCCGACCTGGGGCACAAATGGTGCCTTGTGGCTGTATTTGGTACCGATGGGATTAGGAGGCTTGACAGTCAGCAGAAAGCACACGTCGTGCTTTCGGAGATTCTCCCACTCCGATTTTATTTCCCTCCTGACACTCAAATTGATCGTCACATCAGCGCGAACCCTCGACGGTCTTTTCTCTCCGATATTGGGCTTTGCCACTTCCACGACCGCGAATTGAGTGATGGGTTGAGCCATTCGTGCCCAACCACCGAAGTAGACACCACCGTCCTCCGATTTCCAGGGGCTCAAGCGAGACACCGAGTCTTCGATGTCCTGTCGAATTTCGTACGTCGATTCTAAACGGAAGAGGTTGAAATTTCTAAGGAGATAGTCGTGGAGAGTGAGGAATTGGAGGTTCAGCTTGGGAAGGGCTAGACAGCCTTCGCCTGAGAAGTACTCTGTGGGGACGATGCTCTCGTTCCAGATTATGTCCTCGGTGGGATACAGGGGCATCTCGTTGAGTTCCTCCAGCTGGGAGGCACGACGCTCGTGGCGGGAAACTAGCAACTCCTGGAGGAAATCCATGTCCAGGCGGTACCAGTTCTCGTCGTTCAGTCGGTCCTCTGGGGGAACGAGGTTCAGATAACTCGCTATTGCTTTCAGTTTTTCCGGGCTCAGGGAGCCAAAGTGCTTCAGGAGGGCGTCACGCGTATCCACGCTCGCTACGTTCGCCAGGGCGAAACTCCGGAGGTCCGGGAACTTTGCGAATACTGCTCTCTGGGTGGAAAATTTTTATTTCGTTTCAGTGTGAATTTGTTGTCGTCTAGGAGGGGAATATATGGGAAATCAATTTTTTGCTAATAGAACGATTTGATTTTGGAAAAAAAGTCCCACAAAAATCGTAGATCAGGCCCTCGGGCCAGCGGTAGGAAAAAATAATTTTGTTTTCCCATTTTTTCTGTTTGAGAGTTTTATTATCGTCTAGGGGATAAGTATGTATAAAATCAACGGTTGGTTGATAGAAAAATTCGATTTCATGAAAAAATCACTTTACTCCAAAAAACCTAGATCATCCCCTGGGATGAAAAAAAGGAGTGAGAAAAAGGAGTGAAAAAAGGCGTTTGCAAGGGCTTCTCAATCTTTCCTGAATTCTTTCAATCTCAATTCGAATTATCGAAATTGAAACTCTCTCTCACCTGCAAAGACGTAATCTTCGTATAATGCAACTGGGTCATGTCATGATCTGTCAAAGGATCCCCAGTCTCTTCACTGATCTCAAATCTTGCGTAGAACTTCAGCATCTCCAGTAACTAAAACCAAAAAAAAA